AATGTCTACATTGCATTACCAACAAAAATCTACCAAAACAAGTTAGATTGCATTAGAGCTCTCTAGGCTCAAATGTGCAGCCTTAGACCTAGTCTCCATTTGTTTTCTTCCCCTCATATCTTCAAGTTGGCTTGAGGTCATAGCTTGTTTTCCCTTCCATTTCACACCACATGGTGGTTTATGTCCAAGATCTCCAGTGACAACTGCTGAAGACTTCACATTTCTAAATCTTTCACTAGGCATTCCAGGCTGTTCAAATGAATATAAATAATCTTAATTTGTGATTAAAGAAAAAATAATAAATGATATTTAAGTATAGAAATAGGGAACTTATATTAATAATAGTAGCAATTTGTGTGTGTAGTACACCCATTCCAACCATTCTTGTCTGCTAGTAACACTACCCTAAAAAATAACAAAATATTCAGTAAAGAAACTTATTTAAAACTTATACATGAAGTAAATAAAGAAAACTATATCACCTTTTCTATTGAACCCTTTGGTCTACCCCTTCCTCTTCTAGTTGGAGCATTAGGTGTTGCTCTTGGGCCAACAATTTGTGTTGATGTTGGTGCAGTAGCAGGGCCAACAGTTTGTGTTGATGTTGGTGCAGCAGCAAGGCTAGAAGGAGGTCTTGAACTTGGTGCAACAGGGCCAGAAGGAGATCTTGAACTTGGTCCAGCAGCAGGTCTTGAACTTGGTCCAACAGTAAAGCTTGTGCCATAAGCAGGTGGACCAAGATGACACTTTCTTTTATTGTGATCCTTGTTATGACAAGTGTTGCATGACATCTCAATCCCTATTTTGGATAATTTTCCAGTTTTACTGGTTTCACCTTCCTTTTTTTTCCTTTTCTTGTCAGGCCTTCCTGGCATCTTCCTAACATGAAGTGGTGTCACAGAGATGTTTTGTGATTCTGGCCACATTTTCAGATTCATAACTGGCTGAATGAAGTAGTTGTATGTCTTCATGTATGTTTCTCTGTTATAACAATGAGAAATGTAGTTGATTGGGTCCAATTTCCTATGGTGAAGAGCAGCTATTACATGAGGACATGGTATGCCTTTCAACATCCATGCTCTACAACTACATATTTGCCTTTGAATATCTACTACATGTCTGTATGGTCCATGAAGTACCTCATACCCTGTATCTGAATTCCATTCAATGCTGCATTTTATAGACTTAGTTGTGTTATCTTGTAGAACCTTCATTGCCATTGGAGAAATGTCACATATCCAAGTATCGCAAAACTCTCTCATCTGCCCTATTGTTTTCATCATTTTCACCCTAATTTCTTCAAGCATTGTAATTATAGTCTTATGCCTTGCTGCTAATATCCATGAATTGAAACATTCAACCATGTTATTGTTTACAACATCACATTTTGAGGTAAAATTAAAGTAAAGCTTGCTCCATCTTTCAGGATTATAATATAACAGGTGATCAACTATATTATTTCCCAACCTTTTCATTTAACCTATGTTATCTTTTAACTCAGCCTCAAAAGTAGACCTTGCACACCTCCAGAAACATTTCTTTCTCTCAAGACCTCTCCATCTCTTTGACCAGTTAGCAAGGATGTGTCTAGCACACATTATATGCTCAACATTTGGCAAATGATCAGTTATGGCAATTTCAAGACCCTATAAGAAAATTCAAGACATAAAACTAAGAAACTAAGACATTCATAAATAAATAGGCATTCAAGACATGAAATAAATCAAAAAAATCAATAAATATTCTAACCTTTTGCATATCTGATATGATTGTGAGGTCCGTACAATCTCCCAACTGAAGATCTTCCTTTAGAAGTTTGACAAACCAAGCCCAAGTAAACTTATTTTCAACTTCAACTACTGCCCAAGCCAGTTCCCATCTTTACAAACAGCAACCGATAATTGACCTTTAGATACTCCCTTTAGAAAACAACCATACAAACCAATGTACCTCCTACAACCAACCAAGAAGGACTTCTTCATTGCATCAAAACATATGTAGAAGCCTTGAAACATTTTTCTACCTTTTTCAAATGTTTCTTCATGAAGCTTGACTATACATGTACTACTTGGATTAGTTCTTAGCAACTCATCTTTGTAGTCCAAAATCCTCCCAAACTCAAGAACATAGTCACCCATTAACTCCTGTAATACTTTGTTTCTTGCTCTCCTACACACTGTTCTTCCAACATATAAATCCAATTCTTTTTTAATAAGCCCTTGAAACTCAAAGATTCTAATGTCAGGTTGTTCCTTTATCCTTTCATTGTAGTGACTAGATAAGAACTTGCTATTACAAAGCTTGTTCCTATTAGTAGGATCACATTTGTGAACTGGATTGTATGTCTTTACAACAAAATTATCTGTCCTAGAATCAAAGCTAGCAAATAAAACCCAAGGACAACCAACTGTACACCTAACCCTTACCCTTGTTGGTTCATTAATATACATTTCAATTGCAACATGTTCAGCAACAACATATTTGGTAACAGCAGATCTAAACTCATTAACACTTTCAAATACAAGACCCAATTACCACACTACTTTCTGAGAAGATACATCAAATACAACTCTATTCATCTTCTTTCTCCTTCTTGGCTTAACTCTCTCTCTTTGTTGAACCTTTTCTTCATCATCACTGAAAGCATCTGGATCTGTTTCAAAACTAGCAGCTTCATCTGAGGGATAATAAGGCTCATCACTAGCTAGCTTGCCTTCTAAGTTGTTTCTATTACCACCTGTAGATTCATCATACCCAGCATCTGGCCCTTTTTTTTATGTTCCTAACTTGACATGATCAGGCAATGTAGCTCTTTCTCCCCTTTTCCTTCTCTTTCTTTTACTCATTTCCTCCTTAAAACTTCTTAGTTCATCATCTACATCACTCCCATTAAATCCCCCCCCCTAATTCAATGATTATCTATCTGAATCTTGTTCATTAGAAGGATGGACAGGGTCAGGAATTGGATCAGAGGAAGGATGAACATGGTCAAGAGTTGGATCAGTAGAAGGATGGATAGGGGTTGGAGTTTGATGAGTAGGAGGAAGAGTATTTGGAGCAGTGAAATAGTGTACATGAGAAGATGTATTTGAATTGACAGGGGCAGGGTTTGAGGCAAGGTTTGAGGCAAGGTTTGAGGCATTTTCTTGGGCCTCATGTGTTGGTTCTAATTCAGCATCAAAAGATGCATTAGGCCCACCGTTTTGAGATACTCCCTCACCTACTCCAGTTTCTCCATATTCCAATAAAGGTGGGACCAAAACTGGATCAGCAACAAAGTGAAACACAAAACAGTCCAAAATATCTCCATGACTCAAACACTTAGCAATTAAAGTAGTATCATAGTCAGATTTGATTTCTAACATAGCAGTACTTCTAGGAAGTTTGACATACAACACACATTGTCCAGGTTCATACCCCAACTCTTTCAGACAATCCCTCAATTCAAAATAAGATAACCTATCTATATCAACATCTAAAAACTCATAAACTCCTCCACCATGATATGGTTTCCCCTTGTATTCCTTTTTTCAATCTTAATAACACCACCGTGGTAAAATCTCAAAGTAATCAATTCAAAAGACATTTTAACCTGAAAATAATGTTATCAGCTAACCCTCAACAACAACGACAAAACATATACAATAAGAAAATTAACAACAAAGGGGAATCATGTGAATGAAAGACGACATACAGTAAACTTGAAAAAAAAAGTAAAGACGAAATAACCCTAAGCTACAAAGTATGAACTATGAAGTAACCCTAGAAATGTTTGACTGACCTTTCAGATAT